GTTCACACTCATATATAGTCATATTAAGTTAGGTGCCAAAATGCTTTGTTTCACCCCACATGGATAGCACTCCCAAATAAAACAATGCAAGTAACATTCAAGAGGCCAAATCCACATTTCAACTGCAGGTGCACCGGCACTAAAAGCCTATCTATTAATACATATTCTCACTTAACGCAGTTGTGGTGATTTGCATAGACGTTAAGCTATTTTTAATAGTTTTAAAGAGAAGGTTCAGAAAATAAGTTATTCCAAAAATCTAAGTCAAGTACATTTTTTATAAAGGTGTTCTGAGAAACGTTCATATTTCAAGCCGATGTTGCCTATTTTTAACTTTTCAAATGCAGAAAAATGCTTACTTGAGAGAGAAATCTCTGCTTACAAGGACAGCATGAGAAGCTTCCCTGACAGTCTCCAGAAAGTTTTTAAAAGCTGCTATTATTGTCAGCGCTGCATTCAATAACAACTTGGATTCCATGCTGTTATTCAAACGATCTTCACAAAAAGCACTTTTAGCAAGAGAGAAGAACAATTGAAGAAGTGAAAGAGATTTTGCTTGGTATTTATTATACAGTAAGAGAATGGTCTGCAAGCTGATTTTTGTGGAGGTAAATGTGATAAAAGTGGTGTTTTTGTGAGGAATTTACAAGAAAATGTGCTCAAAGAGGAACTTCATTATTGGTCCACATGATTTAAACTAAAAAAGTAAAGTGTAAAAAGTTAAACCAGGTTCATAGATTTCTGTTTCAGCAAGCCAGACAAATCCTATATGCAAAAAAGTGCAAAAATGTGAATACTCGTCACTTTCCAGCCCTAATCATCCCATGGCTTAAAAGCAGTCCCATGACCTAAACCCCATGCAGCAGTATTGACAGGTCATGTATGACACATTGAAAGCAGCTGACAAGCGACCAGGAGGGCGTAATCCACTGTTGGTTTGTACAACGATCGGCCAAATGCAGTGTTTGCTCAGATGGCAGACTGGAACAAGCGTTTTTTTTTCGGAGGCTCACTGAGCACAGGTCAAAGGTAAAACAATTGTGTAAACAGAAAGGTCCTGGTGCTCGGTCATAGATTCCCTCAACCTGCCTGAAGCGGAGGCACCTGAATGTGTGTGTGAGGGTGCGTTCTCTGCAAACATGCCAACATCCTGCCCAATTTACATGAGGAATAAGAGAGGGGAAACCACAGTGCCTCAGGCTGTCTGTTTACGCCTAACTGCTAGTATTTCCCACGTAAATTGGGTTCCTGCCAGAACTCAAAAGTCAATAAAAGACAGATCATTGTCACCTGCCGACGTCATCAGCCTCGTACATCTTAAACAATGTATATAAGTTTAAAAACAGGGGTTTCCAAACTGTTTTCACCGAGGGCCACATACAGAGAAATATACGAAGGGCTGGGGCCACTCACTAGAGGTCTATCGCCTCATACGTTCAGTTATAGGTTAGCAAAATCAATCAAATGTAGGTAAAGTATGTGAGTGTTGGCAGCTCATCCCTTAAAGCAGAAGCCTCACATTGATTATAATAAGGAGAAATAGGAAGGGTCTATTTCAAGCTTGTAAATAAGTCATCGGGCTTTTTTCTTATCAACTCATATGTTAGAAAATGTTTCCAACTTTAATCGACTGAATGAATTTGTAAAGTGGTTTTATTAACACATGAATACTACGGTGTAATATATGTGTACAGATATATTTCAGAAGTGTAATATAAGACAAGCACAAGTTTCATTTGTGTGCCGTGTAACATTATACTTTTTTAATTAGCTGATAGCCGATTCAAAATGGTCCCCGGGCCGTCTGTTTTAAAAAGTGTTTGAAATGCATGCTCTCATCATAGAAAAACGTCCCTGCACATCAAATCAAGCGCTCCCATAACAAACTCTTCTCACCTGAATGTGGCGTCCATCGGAGGTGCCCAAATACACCACAGCTCGGCCATGGACTATTACCACGGTGATGGATGTAACCAAGGTGTTGGTCAACTCTTTCTGCCAGTACTCCAGCCTCTGGACGAACTGGGTCACCTGCAGGCGGTACTTGCTCTCTTTCCCTTCGTTGATTCCCTCATGTGGGTCGCAGTCGTCTGATGAACTCTGCAGAGGATACAATAAAAGGCATCAGGTAAAGATTGGAGGTCAACCCTTTGAGAAACTCTATGAATCAAGCTATGATAATAATGTATTAACAATGTCTCTGACACCAAACAATATCTATAGAATAGGGTTCCCCTTCAATTGGAGACACAAGGTCCCACGATTGAATAATGTAACACTGAAGCACCTGTCGATCCTAAAATGTCAATCCTGGATCAGCTGTAATGTTCTGTTGAGACCAAAAGGTTTTTTTTTATTTATTCTGAGATTAACGTCAGAATTCAGAGAAAAAGTCAGAATTTAAAGTCAGAAATTTGAGGGGAAAAAAGCAGATTTCTAAGAAAAAACGGCAGAATTCTGCTAAAAACTAAGTATTTTCTAACTGTATTCTCTTTGTTTGATTTCAGAACTCAAAATAACATTAACTTTTGTTAAGAGCTCAATGAAATGTTCAGATGTGGCCCTCATCCTCCTGGTATATACCGTATATACGCATGACAGTGGAAATAGTGCTTCTTATTGTACATGATATCAATATATCTTTGTGGTCTCATCCTCTTCAGAATAGTGAGCTTGCACGGAAATCTAAAACCTGGAACAAGCAGTAAAGACCGAAACACATTTTCACATAATACACAATTTTCTTGGAATCGTCAGCCAGATTGGATCGGCCCATCCAAACACTGCTCTCCTGCTTGTTATATAACACCATGTTGAACTATCTGCTTTCATATCTGGCCCGACGGGGGAGGGTTAAGAACCAAAACCTCCTAAGCCCCCCTTAGCCACTCTTTCATCAGGCCCTGCTCGTAATGGAGGTCTCGGCGTGGATGTACCCCGAGGGCGAGCATACGCGCTTTGTTGAACAGGAGTTTTTGGGGCGCCAGGATTTCATGGGAAACAGTGAAGAAGACGTTCGTGCTGTTATTCATTCCATCAAAAATGTAGTTGAGATACAGTGCACATTGATTTTTCTGTAAAATAGACGCTCACAATACAGAAATAGCTAATAAACAAATAAAAACAAAAGATATTACATAGCAAGCAGATAGCCACGGGTTGAAGCAGTACAGAAAGTTTTTGTGTAGTTTAGAAAGTGTAAGTGTTGACAGCTGATTCCTAACCAGCCATGTTCAAATGAGTTTTAAATAAACTAAATGTGGCATGTTCTGTAATTGTTGCTCGGATGGAGAAGGAAGACTAACTAAAAATAACTTTTCCTGAGTGGGATCATTCCTCCGCACTTGAGGACCTAAAGTCTCCACGTTTTGCTTTCCAAACGTCGCTGGGTCGTGCAGATTGTTGCGTCTGCAGTCTTTGGAGCATACAGTGGGAGCAGAGACTGTATCCAGAGTCTGAGTCAGGGCCTCTTCTCGACCCCCCCTCTCCCCCCTCTGCCTTTTCACTTGCTTCGGCCCTTTTGGTGTTTAGTCATGGCCTCCTGTCCCAGCCTCAGGTTTCATTAATTATTAATGACCCACAGGGTGGCTCTTAAAGGTCCTTGACCCGACTGCCTGACCAGCCCCAGCTTTCGGTTGTTTTCTCAGCTTCAGTGGATGATGACCTCTCCACTGAAGGACGGGGGAGGGGGAGGGAGTACAGGTACAAACGTTATGAAGACCTGTGGACGGCTCCTTTCAAAAGTGTCTCTCAGAGCCAACTCCTACATGCCTCACTTTCCCCCAGCTATGGAGAGTAACTTTTTTACTGTAATTAAATTCAAATTTGAGTTGATTTTGTTATGTTACTAAAAGAGGACATACTGTATGTGTATTTAGCGTCTCTACTGGGACATGTCTCCATGCTCTAATGTTCAAAAATGTAGAGCCAAGAGCATTTAGACATACAGATGGAGGGTTCAACAGACGCTTACTGTATATGGGCTAATATTGGGAAGAAGCCCTATTCTGCTCATTTCCAGGTTCTTATTTATATTCAGATGTCTCTACTGGGACATGTCTCCATGCTCTAATGTTCAAAAAGCTCTTTATTTCACCCTCTGTCTGAAACCAGAGCCCAGTCTTCTCTGATTGGTTAGCTGACCGGCTCTGTTGGGATTGGTCAACCGCTTAGAGATGTCCCGCCCCTTAGTATAATATCACGTATAATGTGTTGGAGCGCTAGCCAATAGAAGTGTTACAAAATGATGTCACTATTTTACTGAAATAAACAAAAAGGAGTCTAATGCAGCCCGATTGCTTTTACTTTTTGTACTTTCAAGTATATTTTTATGCCAACACTGGAATTTTACTTAAATAAAATCAGGACTTATACTAACAGAGTATTCTTTACAATTTGGCATCACTACTAAATACTCAAGTCAAAGATGAGTGAGTACTTATTTCACTACTGCTTTCCTCACAGAGATGTTTTTGACTTTAGTTTTGATCGTTTGTTGTGGCTAAAATGTTAAAAACTGATCTAGTTTTAATCTTCTACATGAAGAAATGCCTGGGCCCTTATTTGCGGTTCATTTGCTGCATCATTGGTTTAGTGTTTAAGCTCGCTTTGAAGATGAGTAATACATCAGGTGCTTCTTTCTCAATGACCTTGACATCGCCAATATGAAGGGAAGAGACAGCTAACTGCAAACCTTGTTTAAATCAAAAGTCCTGAAGGTCAGTCAGAGCCAACGCTGGACTCAAACTCATTGGAAATGTGGAGAAAATTGAAAGCTGGCTGAACGGTTGGATGTTTTTATGCCAAGCTCACAGCTGTGAGGCGGTGCAGCCAGCTGATCTGCACTGACTTACTGCACATTAAAGAGAGTGATAAGAAGTGACAGTTAAATTCAAGTTGGATGAAGTTAAGGCCACGTAGGAAAAGATGATGTTTGATGGGCTCGATGATGGCCTCTGATGTGAATCTGTGTCCAGCGTTCTTCTCAAAACTTCAACAGATGGACACGTCACCGCTACGGACATTTCACCACGTGGCTCGAGAAACAGACCCTGGACGGATTATTTTCAGAGCAAACAAACTGGGATGTTTGTTGAAGCGGAGCAGGGCGATGGGAGGGAGAACGTGGAAGAAAAAAAAGGTCTTAGAGGCATTCCTCTGCCCCGGCTAAAGGTATTCCCGAGGATCAAGGCAATGAAATTGGACAGTGGAAAGGCTGTTTTGACAGGCTCTGTTTGAAGCTCCGCTGCAGTTATCCGTGGCTGCTTTTGGCTCGGAGAGAGAGGACGACACACTGACCCTGGCAGAGAGGGCAACAGGTTCTCCAACAAAAGTAAAGTCTTACAAAAGGGACAAGAAACTTGAATTTATATATTGTTAGTGGCCAGACAGTAAAACATATTTTGACAATAAGATTTCAGGAGAAATACAAAAATGACTATTGAAAAAAGCAAGGAACACATATTCTCCATTATTGATCGTTTTTTTCGAACATTGCAGCAGCTTCTAAACCAGAGTAAGGACTAAAACAACTCAACATTTTGGGGCGGTAGGGGTACAAATTGTATTAAAAAAGACTTATCTACTTTGTAGGTTAAGTTAAATCATGATTCTATTTATTAAATATTCATAACTTTGTCCTTTTCGACCCTCCCTTATGGTTACGAAGAGACTGAAACAAAGTCACTTGTGGCCTTATTGAAAAGATACAGGAGAAGAACAGTCAATCACTGAGTAAACAAAACCCCCAGTTCTGTCTTTTAAAACTGATTTCATTGAAGTTTAAAGCCCATGTTTCAACTTTCTTGCCTTCATCTTTTGGGAGATTTACGATGCTGGCAGGTGTTGCTGATGTTCTACATCGTTCGGGCCGTTCTGTGACCGTGTTTTCCAGCCGTAGAACAGACACCGTGGGGCAGAAACGTGAAATATTGTACACCTTTTGCCCCATACTTAACCAGCAGCCATTGTCCCCCAAACAACGGCGTGGCGATTGGGTTTCCGAGTCGTGGGGCTCCTAAACCCCGCGGCACTGCTCAGGAAAAGTCAAGAAGAGGGGGTGAAAGGTGATCTGCATGCTCTAATGTCGTGTTCATACTCTCACTGTGGCCCCCGGGGTCCTGTGTGAATAGACACACTAATGCCTGAATCATGAACCGGGGACTGGGTTACCAAGAGAGAAGGTTTTGCATACAAACACTGTCCCTGCGGTGCAAAAATAGGGTAATGGCGCTCTTGCTAATGTACAAAAATACTCAGCGTGTTGTGGAGGCTTAGCCAGAGTTAGCATGCTTGCACACATGCACGAAGTCTGTCTGGTGGCTGGACGCTCAGCTGGCCCTCTCTGTGGAATAACAGACCTTTGACCCCCGCATTGCACCAGCAATTGTGTGCGGTCCAGACAGCAGGGAGAGGTTTGGATGTCGTCGGGGTGTGTGGAAATGACATTTCTCAGAGAAAGTGAAATGCAAAGGCATGTGGAGCGCACAAATAGCTCTGTGTGTGTGTGTGTATTGTTGTGGACACACATTACATTACCCCACCTGGACATATAGGGTGCACGTTACTCTGCAACCTGACTCTCAGTGAATGTAATAACCGTGAAGTGTGTGTGTTTAAGTACGCAGGTGGCTTCTTGTACCGAGTGCATGGAGCCATGTGTTAATGTGTGTGTGTGTGTGTGTGTGTGTGTGTGTGTGTGTGTGTGTGTGTGTGTGTGTGTGTGTGTGTGTTGCTGTAGGGGACTGTCAGGGTGTTAGGGACCCCGACGCCAGGCAAGGTCGACAGCTTCGTTTGTGACTCGTAAACAAGTCCAAGAGGAAACCGGGGGGAACAATATGTGGAGTTTATAAAACTGAAATAAGAAACATAAAATACCGAAACTGACTGAAAGGAAAACATTTGACTAAAAGAGGGACATATTTGTATTAAATAACATCTGGACGTTGATGTTTGAAGACCCCGTAGGGAGGCAGTTCTGATAATATTTTTGATTCCATGTTTTGACCGCTTAAAAAAAAAAAAAAAAAGATCTGAAGAAGAAAACCAGAGCTGTTTTTTCAAGTTTATAGTTTGGGACACTAAACCATTTTACTTACGTT